AAATAAAGTAAGATAAGAATAACCAATCGTCGCAAACATGCAGGTTAAAAAGTATCGATAGGAAGATGCAAGTCTGAACAATCAAGATGAACACAAACATACAAGGTGATATAAGTTAGGCATAAGAAACTCAGTAGAAACACATAAGATAAGAATAACCAGGCATAGAAAACATGCAGGTTAAACAGTATCGATAGAAAGAGGCAAGCCTGAACAATCAAGATGAACATAAACATACAGAGGTGATATAAGTTAGGCATAAGAAACTTAGTAGAAACACATTCAAAGTGAAATAGTCACAGAAACTCAAACAAGAACAGGCTAGTCACAAAATCAAACAAAGAAACCTAGAAAAATTAGGGCTTTCAACATAGGCAAGTTGAAGAGATAGTGAACTCACAGCATCAGTCGAAGTATGAGAGAAAATAGAAGTTTAAACATAAAAAATCAGTTTAAATATAGTTTTAAAAGAAGTTTCGAAAACCTTAATTTTAGAAGAAGATGAAAACTCTTGAAATCACATGGTTTTGTAAAGAGTTACAAGGATAGTGTAAAACATCAAAGAAGCAAACTCAAATCATTTTAAAATGGTACAAATCTAGGAGATGTAGGTAGAAATTAGGATTTCAGAAGAAACCCAAATAGAGATGAAAGAACATGTCTAGAATCCCAAGGATCGTAACAAGTACAACATGATTTTGCTCGAAATCATACTGAATTAGCCAAGAACAGACCAATGACAAACTCTAGGTGCAAGTCGGATTGGCCCTGGGCCTTTGAAGACCTTAGAGAAGGCAAGCATAGCATTAGAGGAGTCATTGGAGGCTTAGGAGTTGAAGGGAGATCACCGGAGAAGACCGGAGAAGAAGGTCAGCGACGAAAGGAGCTAGGGGTAGGTTGAGTGGTTGAGAGAGGAGAGGAGATGAGAAAATACAGAGGCGCCGGTCTCTGAATAATGAGCTAGGGTTAGGGGTCGTTTGGAATTAAAAATAGTAAGGGCTAATATGGGTCGTTGATCTCTTAGATCAACGGCCATGATTCAATTGATCTTGGGTCGGGTAGGCAGGTTTAGAGTTTGGCTCGGGTAGTTTAATATGAAATTGGGCTGGGGCTGGGTTTAATTTGGGCTAAAATTGAAATGCAAATCTGGCTATATTTTAAATAGCCAATTTTCCCCTATATAATTTATAATAAATAATAGATAATTTCTGGAAAATAATTTTGTATAATAAAATGATTTAAAATATATATTTAATATTTTAAAAATATATAAGGTCAATTTTATGCATATAAACGTAATTATACATTAATAAGGCTAATATTGCAATTATATGCAATTTAGCTTTAAAAATACAGAATGTAATTATAAAAATGCATAAAAATATTTTAACCATATTTTGGCATAAATATAGAAATTAAATAACTAAATCACCCCAAACATAATTTGAGGGATAATTATTGGGGATTTTGTGAATAAAAGGGGAAGAAATAAGTCAATTAAAAATCTTTAAAATTATAGAAAAATTATAAAAACCTTATGCATGCTCATATATGCATATATATGCTATTTTGAAGGTATAAAAATGTTGAAAAAAATTGGGTATCAACATAGTCAATAAGGCATCTCCCCAAAAAGAGATAGATAAATTTGCTTGCGCCATCATGGATCTTATCATGTCTAATAGTGTTCTATTCCTCCTTTCTGCTACACCATTTTGTTGAGGTGTGTAAGGAAGAGTTAATTGTCTTGTGATTCCCTTTTCGTTACACAATTCTTCAAAAACGTTTTATAGATATTTACGTTCTCTATCGGTTCTTAAGGTCTTAATCCTTTTGTCTAATTGATTCTCAACTTCATTTAAATATTTTTTAAAGCATTCAAGTGCTTCAGATTTATTAGAAATCAAATAAACATAACCAAAGTACGTGAAATCGTCAATGAACGTAATGAAATATAAAGCACCAGTCACATTCATTGGACCATAGATATTAGAATAGATTAATAGTAATGAAAAATCAGCTCTCTTATCCTTTCCAAATGGTTTATGCGTAATCTTTCAAGCAAGATAATTTTCACAAGTTGACATTTCAATTTCAGAGAAAGAACATAAATGTCCTTCCTTAGCCAATCTATTTATTCGATGATGCCCTATATGACCTAATCTTTCATACCATGTAATAACATCAATACCATTATTATTAGAATAACATGACAGAACATAACGATCAATATAATAGTTATACGTAGAAGGATTACAATCTAACACAATAAAGCCATCATAACGATGTCCAAAACCATAAAAAAATATTGTCTAGAGTAATTCTAAGACCATTGTGACTAAAGTTCAAATTGAAATCTAAATCTAGAAGAACGGGCATAGAGACTAAGTTTCGTCGAATCTCTGGAACACATAGGACGTCATGCAACATCAAAGATCGGCCACCACGCATGTCTATTGCATCCTGTTTTGCACTAGTTAAAACAAGATTCAACTCTTGGTTTCTTTGTTGTTGATGAAAGAGAGTCGCCACCTAATATTTAAAGGTATACTAAGGTACCTATTTGATCAATAAGTCATGTTCCTTATTAGTCTACTAACCGGTGAGATTATGTGTAAGGATTCTTATTCTTCTAAGGAAAAGGTATTAGGCACCCCCTAAAATCTACCTGAGGTAGCTCCATAGGACTTACACTAGATTAGGAATCAATTACTTATACTATGCCCTAAGTGTTTTAAAGCTTGCCATATATTAGGACGTAATTCTTACAAAGGGAGGGTGTAGTTTAAAAGGGTATGCATTTATAGAGGAAAATAATGTTAGTGTATGTATGCTTGATAAGAGTTGTCAAAAGAGTATATAGGTTGTTTGTTTAAAAAAAATATGTAAAAAGGAAAACTAAATTAAAACATGTGTTCGTAAAGCATGGAGATGCGTAGTGTTCTAATGGGATGAAGGTGCTATGAGAGTAAGACTAAGATATACCTTGATTTAGACTTGAAGAAAAACCATTTGAAAATCTTTGGGCGACAACACTCTTTATTTTTTTTGAAATGATTTGATTTCCCTTATGAAGATCAAACTTGCGATACAGTCTTTGTTTTCTTTTTGAAAGAGGAGCTACCGTCCTTTGCTAAGCTTTGGGCTTCAAAATCTTTAAGAAAAGTTAGCAAAAACATAGCAGAATAAATTATGAGTAGCGAATGTGGGATTGGTTACTAACTAATTATCACAACCCCAATTTCTCTCCATAGGATTTCGTGACGGCACCTAGTCTCTAAGACTAGGTAAGCCTAATACTTACTAAATGAATAGAATAATTCAACCACTAAATGAAAAATATGAGATAAAGATTTTATGCGAATTACAATTCCCAAAATCGGTAGTACAAGTCATAAGCTCTACTGAATTCGCTAAGAGAATCCATAAGTACAACTGTTCAAAATGGAAATCAAATAGCACAAATACGAAATCAAAAGGTGACACCGAGGCCTATGAACGCGACGACAGGTTTACCTTGAGTCTTCACAGCTCAACCAGCCAGCTAATAATCAACAACAACTATGGCACCTGGTTCAACACAAAAATGTGCAGAAGCATAGTATGAGTACACCATAGCGGTACCCAGTAAGTATCAAGACTAATCGTGGAGTAGTGATAAGGGACAGTCAAGACACCTACCGGACTAAACAACCTGAACAAGTGTGAAGGTGAACTAACAGAGGAAACAATATTAATTGTATATGGCTAAAATCGAAAAACCCGATTTTGTGATTATTATGATATCCCGCATCCCATTTTTTAAAGGCTCGAGTCCAGTTCGAGGTTCGAACCCGAGGGTCCTTTATGCTCGACCTCGGGGCAGAGTAAATCTATGACTATGATTAACAAGTAGGAGATTCCCAAGGCACATGATTAAGGCTGACCAAGTCTATTAGGCTAGTCCAAGCCCGTACTGTGGCATTAAATGGATGTACTAGCCATATATCTTTGTAATAAATACACTTGTACTATGTTGGGATTCCCCCTGAAATATAAAGGGGATACTTGTCATTTTGTAACACATATCACTTACAATATTCAATGCAAAAATATTCTCTCTGCTCTCTAACTTAAACATATTCTCTTGATTTCACTATTTATTGCTTACATTTGTTGTGTTCTATTTATTGTTCATCATTTATTGCTCATTATTGACCATAAAGAGCTTTCATTAAAGCTCTCAATATTGTTAACCCTTCGTCGGATGCCCATAGTTCAGTGTCGAGCTCAACCTCGAGGCCCGTATAATAAGGCTCGAGGCCCCGATTCTCAGCCGCTTGGTTTTTTAAAACATATTATTTTCAAGTTCTTATCTTATTTCCTAATCTCATACTTAGCATCTATTTCCTAACAACTAGCATAAAAATAGATTACGTATTTTTAGAATCACAAAAGCAAATCTAATTGTAATTACTATTTTTAAGGTAAACAGTTTGGCACCCACCGTGGGGCTAAAAATAGTAGTGATTGATTTCTTGCTGGTTTACTACATAATGCAAGTTATCGTTCACACTTTTTCTTGTCCAAGAATCTTTGATTTCTAGTCAAAATGTCTATCTCGGTAAATGCATATGAAAACAACGGTCTTGAAGACCATGGAGAGAATGGCGCAGCCGTTCCAGGTATTGGTGTACCACTACGAAACCCTGAGGACACACCAGAGCCAATCCCTGCAGATGTGGTCTCATGTGATGCCCAACACATCGATATAAGCTCACACACTAACAGAAGCGTACGCCAAGGAGACCAACAAGAAGCTCAAAAAACCCCAGCTCGAGAGGAACAAGAAGTTAGCCTTCACGTTATTTTTGAGATGTTGCAGGCACAACAACTGGCAATTGCTCAACTGCAAATCCACCAAAAAAAACCCAAGTACAGCAACACCGGAAACGGCTCCTCGAGCCGAACAGGTACTGGAAAGATTGAGTAACAACGGGTCATCAGCGCACCCCGCTATTATGAAGATGCTCGAGGACCTCACAAAGAGAGTTGAATCGGGTGAAAAAATGATAGAAGCCAATGACAAAAAGGTTGAGACCTACAACTCGAGGGTCGACCAGATCTCGGGTGCACCCCCGATCTTGAAAGGAGTTGATTCGAAGAAATTCGTACAAAAACTATTCCCAACAAATGCCGCTCCAAAGCCCATCCCAAAGAAGTTCAGAATGCCCGATCTCCTGAAGTACAATGGGACCCCGGACCCCAACGAGCACGTCACATCTTACACTTGTACGGTAAAAGGCAATGACCTGAAGGACGGCGAGATCGAATCCGTCCTGTTGAAGAAGTTCGGAGAAACTCTTTCAAAAGGGGTCATGATGTGGTATCACAACCTAGACCCAAATTCCATAGACTCATTTGCCATATTGGCAGATTCTTTCATAAAGGCACATGTCGGTGCCATCAAAGTGGCTACAAGGAAATCCGACGTCTTCAAAATAAAAGAAAGGGAAAACAAGATGCTACGGGAGTACGTATCTCGCTTCCAAATAGAGCGGATGGAATTACCACCAGTCTCCGATGACTGGGCAGTGCAAGCCTTCACCCAAGGCTTGAATAAGCGAAGCTCGATGGCTTCAAAGCAGCTGAAGCAGAATTTGATTGAATACCCCGCCGTGACTTGGTCGGATGTCCACAATCGATATCAGTCGAAGATTAGGGTCGAGAGCGACCAACTGGGAGCCCCCTCGGGCTCGGTATATCCAAGCAGACTCCTGGAAAATGAGCCAAAGCCAAACAAAGAAAGGTACCAACCATACACCGAATATATGAGAAATGCCCCAAGGCACAACATATCCCGAAACGATCGAAGAATAGACCGAGGTCAGAATCATCGGGGACTCGTAAGCAAAGTCGAATTCAATAGGCATACAAGACTGGTGGAGGCACCCCGCCTGTCAGAATACAACTTCAACGTTGACGTTTCAAACATCATATCTGCCATCATTAAAATTAGAGACATCAGGTGGCCAAGACCTGTACTATCAGATCCATCACAGAGGAACCCCTACTTACTATGCGAATTTCACGGCACACACGGTCATAGGACTGAATATTGCAGACAACTCCGAGAAGAAGTGGCTCAGCTACTCAACAAAGGACACCTCCGAGAGTTCCTTAGCGATCGGGCCAAAAATCAGTTCTGGGAAAAAGAGGCAAATAGGAAGAATGAAATAGATGAGTCGTAACATGTCATCCACATGTCATGGGCGGCATACCCGAGGACGCTCTTACCTTCAGCGACGAGGACATTGAGACCCTGTCTCACCCTCATAACGATGCATTGGTAATTTATTTTCTTGTGAAATATTTCAAATTAAACGTGTACTTGTGGATCTAGGTAGCTCGACTAACATTATCAGGTCAAGGGTTGTGGAACAACTCAGACTGCTCGACCAGATCATGCCCACCTCTCGAGTCCTCAATGGATTTAATATGGTGAGTGAGACAACCAAAGGGGAAATTACCCTCCCATTCAACGTGGATGTAACAACACAAAATGCCAAGTTTCATGTCATCGAAGGAGACATGAGGTACAACATATTGCTCAGGAGGCCATGGTTATACTTCATGAGAGCAGTACCATCAACCCTTTATCAAATGATGAAGTTTCTGACGAAAGATGGGATAAAAATTGTGTACGGAGAACATCAGGCAACAAGAGAGATGTTCGCGGTGCACGACGTAGCACCGGCATCGACACCATCGACATCAAAAAAGCCACAGGATAAGCAAACGGTGAAATAGCAATCACGTGATACATTCTCGACTATACCCGAATAAAACAAGCAAAGGACTGTGCCGCATCCTCGGAGCAAATGTTGAAGGCATATCGAGGCTCGAAGCGCCATCGCCACTAAGGTATAACCATCTCCCTTTTTATTTACATCTTACACTAACCTTTGTGCAGGTGCCGGATCAGAATAGTCAAAGTGATGTCCATCTCAAAGACCTTAAGGTTTCAAAGCATATGTTACACTCTTTTCCTTCGATCGGGTTTTATCCCAAGAAGGTTTTTATCGATAAGGTTTTTAACGAGGAAACATTTATATGCTACCTAAGGAAAATCTCACAACTATTCAAGGATTCTCTTCAGTCAAACTCAAACACTGGAGGGCATCCCCCGGAATATCACCTTCTCAAAGAAGTCAAGATAAGCCAAAAAGGGTCTCAGTAGGAAAATGATGTATCGGGCCAAACGGTCGAATGAACCGTGTCTGCATAGAATAATTGAGCCCTTGACGGCAAAAACATGTCTACTTGTACCAAGTAATCAAAGAATATCTTCTCCTCCGTCAAAATGCTTTGCGCTCCAAAGAAGTATGCTACTTTTACAAAAAAACGGCTTCAGAGACAGAAAAATGGCTTCAAGGCCACATGACCTTCGGGTCAGAAACTTTGAACTCATAAGCCCTCAACAAGGAAATACCAAGTTGATAAAGAATTGCTCCAGAGCCCAAAAACTTTCGACATCTCAGGGATTATTGCCGATTATCACCCCATTGAGCTATTAGAAACTCAAGGCCGTAAAACTCCAAGCGGGCAACCTTGAGCCCGAAAGCCCTCCATGTGGAAATACTAGAAAGTGTAAGACCTCTACGAGGCATTATCAACAATATAAGCCCTCCATGAGGCATCATCAATGCTATAATACCTCTGGGTATGCCCAAATCTGTAAGACCTCAAGCAAGGCATGAACCATACTTGTACCAAGTAACAAAATCTGTAAGACCTCAAGCTAGGCATGAACCATTTGTACTAAGTAACCAAATCTGAAGACCTCAAGCTAGGCATGAACCATACTTCTACCAAGTAACCAAATTTGTAAGACCTTACAAAAGACATAATCCCGATCTTAAAGTTAAGGCTATATATCCGAACTTATAAGTCCCCTAAAAAGGTAAACCCTCAATATAGACGCCGAAACTACTTCACTCGGGGACTGAAAGGCTCCGGCGAAACACAATGACTACGGTCACAAGGCTGTACTAGCCAAACAAACACGACTCGGGGACACCCGATCGTTGCTATAAAATCACAGGCCATCAATTACTTCGAAAAAACTTCGAAAAGAACCGGTTAATCAGGCTACCCTTGGCATAAGCAAAAGAGCTTCGATCATATCAGCTCCAAACAATAGGCTTCGAAACAATTCAGTCGTCGAGCGAAACCTTCTAAGGTGCTCAATTACCACTACCTAACGGCTCACAATCGAGGTTCTTATCGAACCGTCGAAGAGTTGGGCGAACACAAAAACTTTAAAAAGTCTTTAGTGGGGAAATAAAGACTACATAAGAGGTCGTATTGATGCATTGCGTTAGAGCCACTGTCGCCAGCCTACACTAAGAGGTCGTACTGACCTAAAGCATAAGAGCCATTGTTATAGGCTTAAAATTAAAGGTCGTACCAACCCAAAGCATAAGAGACATTGTCCCCAACTTATATTAAGAGGTCATACCGACCCAACGCATAAGAGCCTAAGGGCCAGCTTAAACACTTAAGGGTCAATGAGCTCGAGTCAAAATCTGACTAGGAGGTTGAGCCTGAAACAGTTAACTAAAAACGCCTAAGGGCGAATGCGTAAGAGCCTAGATGCCAGCCTATATTAGAGGTCACACCGACCCAACACATAAGAGCCTACGGGCTAGCCTAACAAGCCCCAGGGACAAATTACAAACCTAAGGGTTTTTTCTCAAAGGCCAATTCGTCTGGCTAATCATTGACAAAACGTCAAAACTCAAGACGAAAGAGGACATGCACAAACAAATAGAAATTCATGGAAAGAGAAAACCGAAAGGTTTCTTTGCATATACGCATGTATGAAGCAATGCCAGGCTACATTTACAAATTTCTCTAAGAACACTATACAAAGAATCAAAAAGAAAAAAGCCTAGTCTATTTTCTCCTCGGGGACTGCGGCCTCATCGGCCTCTTCTCCATTGTCTTCGGTATTAGATACGAGGAATCTAGCATCATATTCATCCGTCTTGGCCTGAGATATCTCTTCCAAGAGATCGAAGCCCGTAGCGTGGATCTGTTCAAGAGTTTCCCTTTGAGAATTACACCGTTCATATTCATTGCTTCTACTCTCTCAATCATAAGCCCCTCTTAACTTAGCCTAAGCTTTTGCAGCATCTTTTAAATAGACGGCCGCTTCTTGTCAACCTTAGCCCGAATCTCTTCAGCTTCAGTCCAGGCATCCATAACCTCGACCTTCATCTCCAAAAAGTTAGATTCGAGCTTTGCAATCCTGCTTATCTGAACTGAGTTGTTCTCACGAGTGTTCCGAAGTTGCACCTCGAGGGTAGAAACCTTGGCCAAAGCATTCTTCTTAGCCACAACATGGGCATCTATTTGAGCCCTTAACCGGTTACACTCATACTTGGCCTGTCCAACCTCGCCCCAAAGGTGTTCAAAATCCACTATCTTGCTCTGCAACTAAAATATCAAAAGATTAGTCTCTAAGGATATAAGAAGAAGCACTTGCTCCCTCGAGGCAAAGGTTACCTGCTTCTCAAGGTGGCTTTCGTAGTTCAGGCTCCGATTCGCCTCGTACCACAAGTATACTAACTCATCTCCCCTTTTATCACAAAGAATCTTGAGGGATTTCTCCCCGTCCAAGGCTTTCCTCAACTTGGCTTCACAGCGGAGCAGCTCGGACTTGAGCTTCTCAAAAGCCTATGAAAAAGGAGCTCAATAAGAAAGTGGGTGTACAAAACTGAAAAACTGATATAGTCGGCCAAAACTCACTACGGAACAGAGCCATTGAGCCTCCTCAAAGGTCGAACGTACACCTACTGGCCTGGTTTCATCGGCCCCAGCAGAACCGCTCACAATAGGAACATGATCACTCGAGACCCCGCTTGGCCTGGGCGGTCTTTAGTCTCGAACACCCTTCGAAGTACCTTCAATGGGAAGAGAAGACGGCGGCATAGAATCCTTGTCCCTCGAAGTACCTTCGACAGGAAAAGAAGACGACGACAAAGGAGGAGCCACTTTTCCAAGGCTAGGAGCCTCAAATGCTGCAGGGTCAGCAGATACATCTTCTTTGGGCCTTCGAGCAGGACTTGTCTCGCTATGAATACCTTCTCCCTGCGAGGGTTCCTTCCATTTGTTATTATTCCTCGATCTTGAGGCCGACAACCTCTCCTCCTCTCCGAGGGAGCACGATCTCACCTCAGGAAATTCTCCAATGCCTGTAGTGATGGAGTTAGGATACACAGAGTACCCTCCAAAGAAAGCAAACCACATAGCATGTACCATGGTGTTTTGCCTCCCAACTACCCTTGGATAGATCTCGCCACTTATGCCTGTCATAGGTTGAGTAGGAAGCTAGCTTCCAAGCCCAATCTACCAGGTCGAGAACCTCATATGGCATCCACGGGGTTGCTGCAAAAAGAAAAAGAAAAGCGTCTTCACGAAATCCGTCTCCACCATGAGCAAAAACGATAAAAACACAAGTATACCACTTATGAGTGACATTCCATTCCTCAGGAAATGGCATAAACTCCATGGGGATAACGTCGGTAGTCCTTACTCGGACGAATCAATTCATCCACCCTTGGTCCCCGTCTTCTTCATCATCAAAAACGAAGGTCCTGGTGGATCAGCATCGCAAAGCTATCAGGCCTCGGCAATGAAAGAGTCAGTACAATCTGATGAGATGGCTAAGGGTGAACTCAAGCCCAGCTTCTTCCGTAAAGAACCTCATCATTAGTGTTATTCTCCAGAACGATGGGTGAACCTGTACCAGGGTAGCCTGATATCTTTGATAGAAGTCAAGCACGACTCTATCGAGAGGTCCCAACGTGAAGGGGTACATGTATACGTTCAAAAACCCCTCTATATGAGCCATGATGTTCTCTTCCAGAGAGGGTACCTGCAATACCACCTTTTCTCCCCATCGGCGGTCTCTCCTCACTGCCTCGAGGTGTTTCTCTCCTATTAACAAAGTAAACCTTGATGCATGATCCCGATGGCCCTCAACATTGGGAGGCCTCTCTAGTGAAAGGTCCTTCCCCGAGACAAAGCATCCTGAGATTAGCTGACCAGGTGCCAGCGTTGTACCACCGATTGAGCGGAAAGAAGAAGCGGAACCCTCCTCTTCTTGGAAAACGGATTTAGGCATAGCAACCATAGCTATAATAAAACAAGAGAAGAAAGACGAAAACTCAAGTGAAAACTTTGAATTAAAATGACGGAAAAGCTGACGCAAGGAAAAAGAACTCTATGAAAAGGGGTAGCAGTCCAAAATAGCGAAATCCTCATAAAAGAAGGAAATAAACTCATATATAGAGCAAACGGCGACTGTCCGCCTACCCTATAAGGCCAATTAATTTCGACTTGGCCATTATCACTTTCGGGGAGATGTACCGGCAGGATCACCTCGAGCATTTTATGACCATGTCGTATGATTAACACTAGCGCACAACGTTCGAGGGATCAGAAACCCCCGCATCAACCTAGCCTCGAGATGGTACCTAATCTCGAGGATCTTTTCAAAATGAAAATAGGCTCTAAGGAGCCATCAATATCACTCTAAGCCTCGAGATGGTACCCAGTCTCGAGGATCTCTATCAAAATGAAAATAGGCTCTAAGTAGCCATCAATATCACTCTAAGCCTCGAGATGGTGCCCTATCTCGAGGATCTCTGTCAAAATGAAAAATAAGCTTTAAGGAGCTATTCGTATAAACCTAACCTCGAGGTGGTACACTATCTCGAGTGTTTCTGCTATTACAAGTGCGG